CGATTGTTTCTTTCTACTAGCTATCGCGTGTATCATTAATAGTTATACAAATAATTTTGTAGACTTACTTTTTTGTATCTGAAAAATCAGTTGCTTAACTTCAAACAAAAAAATTGGCTATTTTGCAAAAACTATTAAGGAAAACAACACAAGGAAAACACATTACAACAATGCAATGATGCAGGCAGGCAAATATTTGTGGAGCAACATATCAGCGTTAAATCGTACTTATGGTTAGTTTTTTTAATAAATCGGTCTTCAAATATTTTCTCTGTTAAGATATAAGTTTACCTTTCTTGCGGAGGCGGTGTATTCTTTATTAGCAGGAAATTGAGTGGTCGCTACTAAATGACTGATTAGTGAAGTTATACTGAAGACAACAAAGTTTGTTGAACAAACATAAAACGGTGTCAGTTTTATTTTGATCCAGGCTCGAAAAACCATTAAAAGGTTTCGCGCAGATTTCCCTTCGTCTCAAACTTTTGAAAGAACGATTTATCCAGAAACACTTTCTTTGTTGAAGATCTACTTATCTACCAGTTTATCAACTTTTTTCCCTAGAAAACTTTCAGTTAACATCAAGCTATGATACACTATCCAAACAAGTTAATGCATGTTTAAAAATGTAAAAACTTGTAGAGAATGTAAACTGATACTGGTGAATTCCTTTCCACCACAGTTTGAAAGCCCGAAAAGCTCATTAGTTTTAGCAACAGAAGGAAAAGCCTTTTGTTAATGAAAACTGATGTTGTGAAGTGAGGTTATGAAGGGACTTTAAGCAGTCCTGTCATAAATTGGGCAGTATAGTGATAGAACTCATGTAATGGAAGTACTTTTTGATGTGCAGAGAGCATTATTGCTTTGGAAACTAAAATGAAAGCTAAATTTTGAACTCATTAGAGTGATCACAACTATTTATAGTTTCATTAATCAATTGATTAGGTACTTTTGCTGCTAAATGCACCGGTGCCAAATTTATTATTTAGTTTTTTACGAATCTCTCAGTTTTTGCGGACAATTATTTTTTCTCCGTTATTTCCTACATACCGCCGGACAAACCCCCCAAGAAATGACCCTCATTCCCAGTTTATATAAGGAACAAATTATATTGTTGTTTCAGTAATTTCTTAAAAATTTTGGTGCATATGGGCCTTTGAGAGTCGTCTTATTATAAACTCGAAAAAAAATCAAGACCTAAATAAAGAGTTTCGTGTTTCGACTGCACTTGTTCGAATAAAAAATAATGCGGCCATGTGACGCATTAAGTTCAGTTTAGCGTTCCATGTTGGAATCGTCATTAGGAAATCTACGACTTTGCACGTTTTCCTTCAAATAATATTTGGTTGGCATGTATGTCCAAATTTAGGTCATATACCAATCCCTTCTCATCGCAACTACTAATTAGTTTGCGTTAGCGCATTAAATGTTCCCCAAATCTCCAAAATAGATTAGGTCCCAGCTAGAGTTTAGTTAACTTGAGGCAAGCCACCCATATTGACAAAAGTGTTGAAAATGTCAGGTTTAAATTTAAAATCATTGCTGGTCTTTAGTCTAAAAATACGTCGAAGTATCCAAAACATACAGAGACAGATTTGCCAGTTTTGTCTTAAAGCGTCTCGCCCAATTGGTTTGTAATTTGTATGTTTTGGGAAATGCGCCGCCAACTAGAAACATAATTAATGGAACATTGTATTGGTAAACGGTAATCTCATTAACAGGATCCTAAACAAAGGCATAAGTAGGGTTTGTCACGCACTTTCTATTTGCATTGTTTTTTTCTGGCCAGTATTGATTCTTTCCTACGGAAAGCAGTTTTCTATTAAAACACCTTGATGCAAAAGTTCCTTATTAGTCCAAAGGTAATCAATTATGTTCTTTGAAGGGAATTAAAGTTGTCTGAATGTGATATATCAAAAAAACACTCACAAAGCAAGCAAGTAGCCGTTAAGTACATAGTAGAATTTGCCCTTTCCCAGGCAAAAACCCTTTTCCGTTCACCCGTGTTTTAATAAAGATCCCTTACATTTCAATAAAATTGAATTTGGAAATGGCTATCCCTGGTGTAAACATTTCGTTACTTCCTCAGCCTGAATACATAACACGGCGACAAACACCCAAAAGTTTTACGGATAAAGTAAATATTTACAGAAAACAGGCAACGCAAATTTTGAAAGTTTATTAATGGAGTTTTACAGGACTGACATCATCGTCATTGAAAATTGAGTTGCTGAAAACATGACTCCTAATAGGACCGTATCCCCCTGGAATCACATTGAATTTCCTTTGTAAACATATAAAATAAGTTGAAAAACCGATATACCGGCGCTTTGACAGTTAAATTAGAATTTTGTCTTGAAAAGTTTTAAATAAGTTCAAAGCGTCGTCTTGATAATGCGTGAAAGTGTATTTTCTTATACAAATTGCTTCAGAAAAGTTTAACGTTCCATTTCCTGGTACTCACAACGTTTAATGATCAACAAAACTTCCAAAAGCGTTTATATCCGAGGTGAAATATATGCCTGATATAATACATTTATTTTGCGAAATTTACAATTTTCTAGGTATTTTTATTGCCAACTTTTCTGATGCAATTTGTCTCGCAAAGTTTTAAATTGCTGTTTAGTAACAAGCAGAAGATGCACTTTCATGTACAAAATTTAATTGATTTTGCAAGTTTCGTTAGTATTCAGGTTGGGTGTTGATCGTTTGCAAGCATAGGGGACTGACGTGCCAGCGCAATTAAAAATATAACAAAACACCCATAACGATGGAAAATATTTTGACATTTTCTATATTAAACTGGCCAAACACATGTATATCGCTTCAGTGGGCGGTTTGGAATTCAAATAATCGACTGTTTACTACTCAAAATCTCCCACCAAAGTGAACTTTCATTGTAAACGATTCCTATGGAAATAGTACACAATTTAGTAAAACACATGGCAAATTTATGATATATTTGTCTATATTCGACATGTCTGAATCGGGATTTTCCAAGAAATTTCGCCAATGTTATTCAGATGCATCCGAAATGTCCAGAGCAACAAGATGACACATGATAATCCAATTCACTATTACCTATTAAACGATTATTAAACCAGCGCTTAAAACTCCCCATCTAATTGAATATATTATAAAACCGCAGCTTAATTCACTGCCTTAACTAAGCCGCAATAAGATATCTATGGAAACTTTCGATATTGAGAAACTTCGTTCATCTTATCCACGGAATACCAAGATAAACCAACCGGAACTTAATTAATTTTTCATCAACATCAGCGTAAAAATTAAGGCAGTTATAAATATTCCAAACAAAACTGTTCTAGGAAAATTTTGTTTTGTACAACACAATTTTACTTTAGATGTGAACATCAATAGCAGATATAAATTACAGGAACAATTTGACTTATTATTGGTCTAGATCACATTCCATTTAGTGCAGTTTGCGACATATTTACCTACTCGAGTCGATGACATCTAATTTTTCAAAGACTAATGAAGAGTTTTAAGCTCTATTTGAACCCAAAAAAAGTTCCGGGCTTTACAGGCGCTTTTCCAAAGCCGACTTTGGCAAAGTTTTTTTTTGTTATCTCCTGTACATTGTTAACTACTATTGTCAAACCGTACAAATTCAAAGGGTGAAACAGAGGGGCTATTTCGAGCCTCTAATCTGCTTAGTAGAGAATTAGCGGTTGCAGTTTTTATCGATTAACAAAACATTGCAGGTTCTGCGGATAAAAGCCCGATGCCAAGAAATTATTTTTCGAGAACAATATATGCAACCCACTTTGAATACAGGGATTATACAGGCAATATTCCAATTTAGAGCGCATTTGCGTATTCAGTAATGCTAAAATACGTGAGGAGTAGATTGCAACTGTACAAAGAAAATCAATTTGAATGCTTCGTAGACGATGTGAAAATCCCGAGGTGAATTTTCGTTATTTTATACTCATTCCCTTTAGAGGGAATATGTTAACATTGTCTCCTTCGCTTTTAGAATATTAAACTATTTGCAACGTTTTGGTTTGGGTCATGTTAAAACATCAAAATTGGTGACAAATGTTAATTTCATTTTCTCATGTCTATCGATACTCTCATTTAAATATAGTACTCTCAATAAATATTTTTTGTCTCGTTCAAACTCCCACCAACTTGTAATTGTACATACATCGAATTATTCAAGTGGCCCGCATAAAATTCGTATCTTTTATAAACGGTTTTTTTTTAAATCCTGAATTAATACCTGAGTTAATAGCCATTTTTTCGATTGCAAAACTTGCCTATTATATGGCCACCGCGGCCGCCGGATCTTACACCACTCGATTTCTTCTATGGGGATATTTAACGAAAAAGGTGTACCAAGATAGACCCGCAGATATTTAGTATTTTCAACATAGAATTAGGATGGAAACAAAAAATATTTTATGTGGAACCCTGCATACAGATGTTTGATTGGTTGACTTTCTGGATATTTACAAAAGACATCGATTGCAGGACCCGAGTAGTAAGTTTTTCACTGCAATAATGTGTGAGGCTTAGCAGCTTATGTAGAATATTAAAACGTTAAACCGCAATATTTTCAAATTGCTTACATTAAAGCCACCGAAAGATCAGATTCTTCGCACCTATATTAAATTTGGAGCTTGCATTGCTTATTCCTTCTTGCGTCCCTATTCTTTGCAGGATTATTTACCCATTTTAAAGGTGGTTAACATGCAAAGTGCTTCGAAATGGAGTAGCATAAAACGATCAAACAAACAATGAAGTGGAAAATTTGAAATCAAAACATACAGGGTCAGTATGTTTGATAAGTGATGATACAAATCAACTCGTCTAACCCATCAAATTAACTGATAATCTTGACTAGCTATTTTGTGCACCAGTGAAACACGTGATACAGAAAAGTGCTGATAATTTATCGGTAGCACCAAACGAAAAATACAATATGAGATTTAAGTTTCACTTGAACAGGTGAATATATAAATAATATACACTACCTTTTAAATCATTGTTCGGTTGAGGGCTTATAATATCATTCAAATAATGTTCCAGACCTCGCATATGTTCCAGAGGACTACTTCCGTTTGCACTAACTACACCACAGCGATCCTGAAACAAAAAATATACTATTTGCTTCAACCGTAAAAAAATTATATTTACCATGCAATTAAAATACATCAGCATAAAATTGTAATTTGATGCCAAGATTGCTGTTATTTTACAAAATACAAGTGCCAACTTCAATCCGTGGAAAAGTATCAATTATTAAAGACATTCGGTCTTATACACTTTTAAATCGTCTTTCAACATGAGAAACAATTTTCTTTGAGGAATTTATCCAGCGCTAGATGTAACAAAGAAAGGAGCGATAATTGTCCCAAGTCAGCTTTGTTGCTGGGTAACCGTGATAATAGATTTCAAAATGCAGGGGTTGTCACTTCGATCCATATTTCGCAGTTTATTTCCAGACACTGACCTGCTGAGCAGACACTGGCGATATTCATAAAATTAATCATTAACGAAGCGCCGAACTGCTCAAATAATTTCAGAAAACTACCAGTAAACCCTCAACACAACAACCGATTGCATCCAGGAAATTTGTCCAACTTTCCACAATGGAGCTGCAAAACCTATTAAATGTCCGGCAGTGTTTGAGGAGCTGCTGTTCTAACCCAAACTAATGACCAATAAATAATGTCTGTTTAATCCTAAATACAATTGACTTTAACCGGTTTAATTTGCACTCACGTACGACTGAAAACGGAGCAATCTGGATCCGCAAGTCCTTTATCAGGGACCTTAGCAAACAAACCAAATGCGCGGTTTTACGTAAATGTAATGTTTGATGGTAAATTTTTAACTCTTAACAACAAATCTCAATGTATCAGTCGAACAAGTGATTTTTAACAATAGTTGTAAAAATAGACACTAAATTTATGAGCGTACATTTAGACCAAGCTATTAAAAAAGTTATGAAAGGAGCTTCCAACCATTTTCTTTATTGGGACTCGGAAGTAGATGCAAGTCTTCAAAAGAGTTTCCAATCACAAATATTAATACTAAATCTCAATTTGCACAAACGAATTATCAGAGCGAATTTTGATATATTATATTCCTACTATTGTTACACAATTTATTAACATACTCTTTTTTAGGTTCATTTAGGTTCTTTTGATAACGATAGCAGAAAATAGCTATCGAAACGTCAAGGTAATTTTTCAAATTAATTTCTCTACTAATTGGAATTTTCTCTTACAGATATTTATCTTACAGATATTTTTTCTCTTACAGATATTTTTTATATATTTTCTCACACAGTTAGGCTTGAGCCTAACTGTGTCGCAGGATACCCTCTAGGTGATAGTTTCTTGATTACTTTTTGATAAATAATTCGTTCTTATTGCGAAATAGGAGCACTATTTATCAATTTGTAATAAAAGACGTGAGGAAATTCTGTCTTTTTTAAAAACAAAAATTTTTGAGGCGAAATACCCAAAAAGAAGTTTGTAAAAAATGAATCCGCCTCAACAATATAGAACTTATCTACTAAATCTCATGTTTAGAATTTAAATTTTCAATATTTAGTTTCTTCTCTAGTAACTCGTAAAATATGATGACCATGGTTGGGTTTGCATTCTAAAACCCTTTGATTGAAAAATTCAGATTTTCCACAGTTTTGGTAAATTAATATCAATATATGGCGTTTGATACTGTAATGAACTAGTCATACAAAAAATAATATATAATATAAAAACATAACAAGAAATGTATTACAGTCATTAATGAAAATATTTTCAATGTTATTCAAAGATGATTCCAGGCTCAAATACCTAGACTCAAACCTAGAAGGTTGTGAATGAAGAATAATTGGAACAAATTTGCAGAAAGAAAAAGAGCAAAGATTTTGTAAGAAGAAAGTATGAGAAAAGACACCGACGCAGCAAAGCACTCTTTGCCTTTCCGCTTGATTTTCGGGAAATAAAAAAAGAGTCAAACTAATTATAAATAGAAATACCTACAACCAGTTTAAAAAATTACCACCTGTACCAAAAATATTCCGTATTAGGCGATTATTAAGCACTACATATAAACTCCATGAAAATTAAAAAATGAATTTGCATTTTATGCTTTAGTTGATGTACAGAGTTTTCAATAATTACAGCAAAGCTAATGAATTATGAAAATGAATGCGTGAATGAATTATGAAATCCTGACAAAAATATAGAAAGGCCTGAAAAAGATATTTAAATTAATTTTTTTTTTATTTCTCTACCTCATTTGAATAGGATTTTGAAAGTACCTAACTACCAGCAAGAGGTGAAATAATATTGTAAAATTCCTCATCAAAATATAAAACTTCACATTTTTTAAATTAATATTGCCATGTTGCTAATCATACAAAAATCCGCAGTATGAAAGAAGTAAAGTAAAATAAGTTCCATGATGGAAACCAAATGAAAGTTCATCATTAAAATAAAGGATTTCTTAGATCGGATATTGCATCCTATTATTTGCTCGAAAATGGCTTATAATAATGAAAAAGATGCAGTTTTTGCAACAAGCTCACATAAAAATTGTTCATAAAATCCGGCGCAACTGTTTCATTACTCCTTTGTTTCGCATTCATAAATCTGAAAACGTTAACAATCTCTCATGTTAGAGCTTTGCATATGCGATACAAATGTAAATAAATAATTGCAAAGTGAAGTTCTGGGTTGGTTTGCTCATAAATATTAGAACAAACTGTGCTACTAGACTAGACTCGAGTGAAACGTTTGCATGACCAAATTTAAACTTGGGCTGTGGAAATTCAATTATTCAAGCAGAAAGAAAAGTGGAATTTTAATTTTTTCGTTTAACGAAGCATTTGTTTTCTAGTTAACTAACGCAACTCCTACGTTATCGAGTTACGAGGAAAACATGGCAAGTGTTTTTCCCTAACTCCATGGCTGGAAAATTGCTTTTTTAAATGATTCAGCTTCCATTTGTGTTTCTTTGCCCAACAAAACCGTTAACAAAAGCATGATTATCGTATTGTTCTTTTATCAGTTTTCTTGGACAATAACATTCAGTTCCATGTGGAGATTATATAAAGTTTACGTGCACATGTATGTAGATGATTATAATCGGTTTACTTTATTGTTTCGCGCAGCATCGTTGACGGCTTTAATGTTATGTTGTTTGTCTAATGATATATTTTATCAAATTAAATTCATTGTTTTCTTTATGCTTGCACGTTAATTATAATTGGACATTGATACGTTTTGTCTATGACATACTTTATTACACTGTTTTTGTAATGTATTTGGTATATCTTTTTAAATAGTCTTTTTAAATAGTTTTGAGAACAGACCGAACTTAGACGAGCGGATTTTGGATTCGGCTCAGTTCGTTTGAGGTTTGAGGATAAAATATTACAATTAATTGAAGCAAGTGCAGCACACAGATTCTTTAATTGAGCGTAACAAACATCAAACTCTGGAGTTGTCAGACATTCAATAATTAATTGTTTTTCAAATTTCTGGCAAATCCCAACATCTTCTCTATTTATTTTAATGTGTCCGTCTAATATATTTCGTCTGTATGAATTCAAGAAGGCTCACTCAGGTAGATATTAAATATGAGCAAAAATCCCCATGTCACATTCAATCGGAAGTTGGGGTTTCGTAGGGGATCTATGAAGGAAAACTTCCTTAGGCTATGCAGAGATATGATGACATTAATCCTTGATGTAAGTAGATGAGGGGAAACACATAAGCCTTTTTCAACATTGGAAATATTGATGATTAAGAGAATATATTGCCAAATAGTAATTAACAGAGTTACCAACTTTACTTACGATTCGCTGCTCCTAAAGGTGGTTTACGGCCAGCCAGAAAATATTTTTTAAATTGCCTTAATCGAGTATTACTTTTCAAACTTTTTGTTCACAATTTTACTGAAACGCTCAACTTTAAGACATTTCTCAGGCGAATATTTAATAGGGTTTGTCTAATTTTATCTACATCAACATTTCACAGCAAATATTGTATTCTTTGTTTGGAAAATCCGTATATAAAAGCTTCATTGTTTTGTATCTGTGCGGCTTTTAATGACTTGCAAAAGGGAGCCCCACCGGCGTTGTTCGCCAGTATTTTATAAGTAATTTATTCTACGTGCTTTCCCGAACGCATTATCACTGCATTTCCTGGATTGGTGAGCCTTAAAGTCTATCAATTTCCAGTCTGACTGGCTAATTTCATCACAAATGCAACAAAAAATAACTTATAAAAGTTGTGTATACAAAATCCAGAAATCCCAATGGCCTCAATCTGATTTCTAAAAATAAAAATTCAACTAGTTGAGAATTAAGACTCTTCCATGGTTTGATTGCAAATGCACCATGTCATGTTATATACCTGCTGTCTATACAATAGATCTTTACATACTATGATGTATATATAAATTATGTGCGCTACTGAAGCAGAATGCCAGATTTATTTTTATTTATTTATAGCCCATACGATCGGACTCATGGCCATTTCTATTTCCAGCTTGGCGTTTACCTCACCTGAGTGTCTAGCATTTGCTCTTCATAGATTTAATAGGCTTGGGAATCACAGCAAGCATATTAAAAATATCCACAGATAAAAACATGAAAACTGGAACAAACCAATGCTGAGGGCGATTCAACGTCAATGAATTACAACAATAAGAATAAAACATTTGTCATAGTTTTTCATAGAAAACATGCAATGCATATGGGAATATTATGCTGAAAACCAATCGTCAATATTTAATAGGCAGTGTTTGTCCACGGAATCTGTTGAATGTTTAATGAAGCCACAGATGAAAGGAAAAAATGACAATAGCAATAACAATAATAACGGAACAATAACAAGGACCAGTAATATTGATTCTAATTTCTTAATTGCGAAAGTTAGTTGTGTATAGAGTGTTCTGTGAATTCAGTGATCTATTGAATCGATCAAATAGTTGAAAACCGCTAGTTGTGTCTGAAAATCTCAATTAGGTGGAAAATTTATACTACTTAACTTAAACACCCTGTACTAATAGAAGGCAAATTTTCCAAAATATAGTTATTTTAAACAACTGAAGATACCTACGATCAAGCGATATAACTATTTGGAAGATGCTGATTATGAACATTAACACAAAAAACAGTTAAATCCGCTGTTTTTTCGCTTATTTGGCACAATAGTTTCTCAAAAATGATGCTGCCAATTTTTGGAGTAAATAACACAATAATGCCAACATTTTTTGAGAGTTACGAAAATTTCCATGAATGCCCACAATGTCCTCTGTAATACCAAACGTTTCTTCACCACTTTCAGGCGGTTTAGAGAATTTGGCACATTTTGAATGCCAAGGAAAAAATTGCATATCTGTTTGTGACAGAACTTCAAAAACGGTGCTCATTCAAAGGGGACAAAATAAGCAAAAAGCAAGTTATTCAGTCAAACGGAAAAATAAGTCATTAATAGTATCTATATTTTCAGAAGCTTACAGCTATGATGATCCCAATGGCTCAAAAGTCACTTTCCTTGTATTATTAATTACAATTGTATTAAACATCTCTGGTAACTTTCCGAAAATAAATTATTCGGTGTTAAAGGCGTTTTAGCTCAAAATAATCAGAGTGTGATTCTGTCACCTCTCATGGTTCCCGATTTGAAATGAGCTCAAATTTGTTTATCTTACACATTTAAATATCATGCTTTCTATGAAACATATTTGAAAACCTAAACTCTATAAAAAATATACTCTTATAAAATTCGGTTGAAATATCCAAAGAACTTTTTTACACTGCTTGTTGGGTATTTTGCCTCAAAAATTTTTCTGGAGAATACAGAATTTCCTCACGTCTTTTATTGCAGATTGATAAATAGTGAAAAAAATAGTAATAATAGTAATTAAAAAAAGATACAAGTGAACTTGTCAAATATTAAGACTATCTGGAACTTTAAGCGTCTGTATCTTAGAAGCGGTTGATGACATCAAAACATCAAAATAATAACTGATCTTTTCAATAGCGCGCCTCAAGAGCTGTATTTTTCTAGTTAGGCATTTTCAGAAAAATGAAAAATAATTTATAAAATAGGAAATTCTGTCTTTTTTCAAGACAAAACGTTTTGAGGCGAAATAGCCAACAAGCAGTTTGAAAAAAAATGAATCCGCCTCAACAATATAGAACTTATCCAAAGAATTGTTGAAATTTTATTTATTTTAACATATGCGCTTTAATGACTGCGCTTGGATGCTCCTGGTCGCTTGAAATGTAAAAAAAAACTCTAAGGAAGCGTTTATCGATTTCAACATATCATTTCGGTCATCTTCAGGGATTCGGGGAGGTCAGAAAGTTCAGCTCAAAGTCAATCAATGATCAGTTTGTAGGATCGGACCTGCGTAATTAATCAAGCAAGTCACTCGGACGAATCAGAACAATCCTAACCTCTAAACAGACAGAAGCAAGACAGAGTTTTTCGAGTCCTATTAAGGTTGAAACAAAATGTTCAACTCCCGTCAAGATAGAGCAAAACTTTCTTGATAACTATCATCTGAATCTGAGAAACGGTTGAATATCAGAATATTATTACGCATCCACGACTATCTTTCCATATCTGGGCATTATCAGAAACCCTGAACGTTTAAAGAGATACAAGTGAACTTGTCAAATTTTAAGAGGGTCTTGAACTTTAAGCGTCTGTATATAAAAAGCGGTTGATGACATCAAAATAATAACTGATCCTTTCCTAGCTAGGAATTTTCAGAAATCCCAGCCTTTTTGCTTAAGAATGTGCATCTCAAAAACGGTCAAAATATGACATAGAATTCTGACTGTCAGAGTTTTCAACTCCTCGTATCAGTGAAAAAGGTTTTTTTTTCTAGAGGACTACAATGTTTTAGGAAAATTGATGACCTTTTGAAAATGCCGGGCCAGGGAGCGATTTGTCACCCTCAATTGTTCAAATTAAACTATTTTAAGACCTACAAATGCATAACTAGATATTTTAAGTTTACCAGATGCGAAATACAAGTTTGCTTAACCGATATTCCGTTCGTAAGACTCCAATGTTATCTTTGTTGTTCCACTTTTCCTTGAATTTTGTTAAAATTGTGCGCAAACATCTAGTAACTTTCCAAAAATATATGTTTTCATTAATCAAGTCCAAGCCCTTGTTTGAATTTTTCAATAGGGTTATTCCGTTGTGAAGTGTTTGCTTCGAGAATAATAGTTACAGCTAATGTAAATAAATGTCGTGTTGAGGTGAATAGCGTATTTGAATAAAACCGCATGACATAATAGTCTTGATAATTATATTTTAATTTATGTTTCACCTCGATAATCATTACCCGAGTAATACACGGTGCCGATAAAATGTAAAAGCCTGATTAAACAGTACTTAACGGCCTTTATCGTTATCTTTGTTTGTTTTAAAGCAATCCATAGAAAAAAGTATATAGCGGCTGTTTCGGTGATAACAAATTGTGTCGCCTAAAAGCTAGGAAATAACAATAATAAAAGTTAAAATTAAACATTGCTACATTACCAAGCAGATACAGCTCAATGGGGAAGCACCAAACAGATCAAAACAGTGAGGAATCAAAAATAAAACAACATAAAAAGTTAAATTTATTAAATAAAAATTATCACAAGGCTACAGGGGAAAATAAATTAGATCATTCTCACAAGTACAGGAGAAAGTTGAGCAGGTGAAAAAACAGCAAGCAAACAGACAACAAAAACAGTTTTAACACAGCATTTGCATATCACAAAACTAGTGCCTTAAGCCAAGTGCCACTCTTTACCTGGAAAGGCAGCAAATCTCGAACATCGTCCATATTGGTAATTTCGAAGGTGGGCGGCTGAGGAAAAGGTCCTTTTCCAGGATATGAGGTGCTCCTTCGAAATTTAACCGGCGATATAATCTGTTGAGGTTGATTAAAAGTAGGACTAGGCTTTCGACCAGGCGGCATCCCAACGCCCATTTGTTGAAGTGGCGTTAAGTTGGGAACACTCCGACCTCGATTCCAAGCAGAATTTGCTGAAGGAGCAGCATTTGAGTTGGGATTCCATCCTTGCCCTGGTGGCCCAGGAGGTCCGCCAGTCCATGATCCAAATCCTTTCGCATAGAGGGGATGATTTGAAAGCGATTGCTGTCGTCCCATTTGCGGAGGAAAATTGTGACTGGCCGTTATAGCTCTTCGTGTCTGATTGGCCTGATTCTGACCCATATTTCCTCCGAACAGCTGCTGTTGTTGATTTGGCGATGGAAAATTTTGGAATCCCATACCGTTCATTCCAGCCAAGTTGGGAACGAACCCATCTTCGATTGCAGTCGACCACAGAGCTCCTGCGGGAGTTGTGGGTTCTGCTGGGTGGAAGTAAGCCGGAAGAGACAGTACCGACTTGCCGACGGGGGTTACTTGGTCAGACAATTTTTCCGAAAGATTATTCACGGGAGTGCTGGATGGCATTTCTGAGTCTTTCGCGGGAAGAGATGAGGAGTTTTTCTCAGTCGGTGTCGTCGAGGTCGTATTTGCGTCCCCGACAACCGACGAGACTGCATTAGACAATTCATCTCCGGTAGAGCTGCTAACAGCTGCCGCACTCTTCTCAGAGGAATCATCTTGCATTATCGCACTATAACTCTTAGCTTGGATCAGAATGTCGGTTCCGTTGCTGCTCGTAGTTGTCGGCGTCGACGAATAAAATATTGTATTTTGATTTGACTTCGACGAATTAACAGATATCTCCACTGCACTTAACCCGATGTTCGTATTGCCACTTAAACTAAATTCCCCCATTAGAGCACGTCACTGTCCGGAAGAACAGTCGTACGGTGTCCCGTGCTTTGGTTATGTCATACACATAGACTTGCCGCCCAGTTGTGAATATGAACACTCAACCAGTGAACCAGCAGCCCACTTTCATGTTAATGTCACTTGTATCTGCCAGATGCCAGATCCGACCGTCTACCACGACACCCGAGCACGGGCGATCTCCGACGATGGCGACGCTGAACGGGCCGCGCGCTCTATTCCTGACGAATCACAAAAGGAGCGCCGACGCTGAACCGACGTCGCATCCAATTCGAGCGCGCGCACCTGATCGAACAGCTGATGACGGCACTTTGAACGACACCTCTATTTGTAAATAGAGGAGGTCCAATGCGTTATCTATTTCTGCAACGAGGGCGCCACATGTACATATCAATATAGAGCTTACAATGCCTATAGTAGAGAGTTTTTGCGCTCGCACTCCTGTATCATTGCCCTACTCTGCACAACATACACACTGCATCTTTCCCACATACGTGTTTGATGTTTTACAGTAAACACTTTTAAAGTATCGCACAGAGACCCTCTTAAAAGTGTCCTCCTACTACAAGAATTCATAAATACACATACTAATATTTGCCAAATTGTATTTAGAAATTTTGCACTACTGCCCACTTGCACCAAACATTTAAGAAAGACTTAGGCCCATTTTCATCAGAAACAAGCGAATCACACTTTGACGAAACTAAGTTTATGTTAAACGCCGAAATTAAACGCGTTTAACGACGGACCGTTTTCACCAGCGCTTCGGTACGTTTCACAAACCGCGTTTATTGAAACGCAGTTTAAGAAACTGGAAACAATGGCATCGTTGCAAAAGTAAGAAATATTACGATTCTCATCGCAAAATCATCTTATCAAGGAACCATTTGGGCCTATGACGTCAATAACCCGTTATCAAACCCAAACTTCCTGCTCGAACTAAGGCCCATTTTCATCAGAAACAAGCGAAACGCAGTTTGATGAAACTAAGTTTATGTTAAACGCCGAAATTAAACGCGTTTAACGACGGACCGTTTTCACCATCGTTTCGGTACGTTTCACAAACTGCGTTTATTGAAACGCAGTTTAAGA